TAAAACTTATCTTCTGGGTGAACAGACCACATCTGCTTCTTTCCCTTTTTGTTTCATATGTGGGTTGTTAAAGGCTTCTACTGTTCAAACCACTGAACTATATATGAATTTTCTTTGAACTTACATTTCTTACATTTCTTTCATTATCCAATTTGCTCTCTTCAGCTTCTTGGGAATGAGAGCCAGTGTAAAGCAGTAAGCCTGACAGGGAAGTCCAATATCTGAGGGTGTTATGAGATTACAGCCCCAATCTAATAAGGATAGATTAGTTTTATTTCCAATTTAGCCATGAGCATTGCTGGTTGAACCAGATATTAAATCAGACTTCTAAAATTGTACCTGTACTCTGAGCAGCTGGTCAGCTGTACTGATCTCCAGGCTCAGTACTTTCTCTTGCATCCTGAAAGACCACAGCCAAGACTTGGCAGAAGCACTGCAAGCCAAATGTGTCTCTGGTGTATTCAGCTAAATCACTAAAATTAGCCTGAAGTGATTTTGATCCAGCCTCCTGCAAACAGATCTATGGTGCTTCTAAACTTGTGTTTTTCATGCAATTCTGTAGTGGGCTTTTTTTTTCCTCCTTGACAAGCTCTTTGCTGCACAGTAGCCCCTGTTAGAGAAATACACCATGTGAGTCAGTGCCACTTTAAAGGGAGAAAGGATGACCAGTAATGACCATGGCTGCTGTAGTTTGCATGATGTTTGGTGCTTCAGTGACCGGGCAGCTGAGCAAGGGGTAGGGAGGGAAGGGTCCTCTGGAGAGTCTGATTCACATCAAGCTGACTTTGTTCAGTTCCGTAATGAGAGATTTTTTTTTCTTATTTTCAATTAAAATGTCAAATGCACTATTTGATTTGGGTTCAGTCACAGTGCATTTCTCCAGCTTACTGACTTTCAGAAGGCTTGCAGTATGCTTATTTTTAAAAAAAAATCTAATTACAGTACCAGACTGAAATAAATTTACTGAATCATTGATTTTCCGAGGGGCAGAAAGTGGCTTCAGCCTTTTGGGGAAACAAGACTTGGGTAACATGAGTGGCTTCCCTTGTTTACAGAGTGGTACTCTTTGGGACACAGCCTGGAAGCATCCAGGAGCCACCCATCGGCTTGTGCAGTTAAACCCATCCAGACAATGTATATTCATTTTGAAAATGGAGGCAATCATGCAAAATAGAAGTTAACTGCTCTGCTAGAGGTCTCAAATGATTTCATTGCCGTTAGCAGCATTGCTAAGCTTAATCAGCTGTGGAGAAGTTAAAGCATAACCTCATTTCAGGCTGAGGAAGAGCGGTGTTCAGTCGAGTGGTGCCTGTGTGTCAGTGGGTCACAAGCAGGCTCCTGGGAATGGCCAGGTAACACATCAGTGACTGAGATGGAAATAGTACTGAGGAGAAAGGGTCGGACTGGGAGGAGGGCTAGAGGAGATGACTACTAACCTACTTTTTGTTCACAACTAAAACTCTGGTTCAGGTAACACTCAGGGATGCTTTTTATAACTTGATTGTCCTTCTTCCATTTTAAACAAAAAAATGTGTGAATGATGACTCTTTTAAATCCCCACAAGCTAGGGTATGAAGTACCACTGAAACAGAAAACAGCAGTGCAGGGTTTTCCTGTTTGTTCTAGGAGGTGACAGACTCATCTGGAAACTGAACATCTATTTCACATGAGCAGTGACCCTTACAAACCAACCAAAAACTGGAAGTCTTTCTTAATTTTGGTGGTTGCTGAAACTTTAAGAAGTCATATTGAATGTTGAAAGAGGTGTTTTCTGTTAAAAACTATCTTAATTCCCCATCCCTTTTTTCAGCTACTTGCCCAGTAGCTCTCTGGAAGGAGATATGTTTTCAGTGCACATTGCAGCACTAAAAACTCCTTACGGGCTTCTTAGGGCGGGTTCACATTATGCCTTCAAGCACAGAGTGAACCAAAAGCTTTCACATCTGAAGTAGCTACATGTTACTCTGCTTATGGAGTGGAAAATAACATTATGCAGAAATATCCAAGAATTTTCTACTCTTACCTCCAACCTACTCCTGTGCTGTATTTAACTTCTAACTCTATTGAGATACCCAGATTTAGGAATGCACTTGTCCTCTACTGTGCTCATCTGAGGTGCACTCAGCTTTGTGTTGCCTTCTGGAGATGACTTCCCCTCTTTCCAGGACCTGGGGGAGGTGTCCTGCTCTGCAAGACCCAAGGCTAAAGTACCTCAAGACTCCAAATGGGCCCCCCGAGATACATTTTCTTCTCTGCAGAATAAGGCTCAACATGAGAAACCATCTCTGCTTTGCTTTTCTCATTTAAACTTCACCACCTTTTCTAAAGAGACAGGATGTAATGGACAAGTTAATAGATGGCAGAAATATCTCACTTTCTCGTGGTTGCATGAAAAGTATTTATAGGGCTACAAAGATACTGCATGGAAACAAATTTATTAACATCTGATGCTTTCAAAATATTCTGAAAAAAAAAACCCACACCAAAAAAAACCCCAAAACAAAACAAAACAAAACAACAAAAAAACCCATAACAACAACAAACCAAAAAAAGAAAATATCCAAGTTATGGTTCTCAATGTCACTGTATCTGAAGTTAACTTTTACACATTTAATCCTTTCTATTTGATGTATTTCTTCAGTGGTGAATTCTAATCAGTCTGCTGTGTTGAGCTCTGGCCAGACATCTGTGTCTTCAAGAAGGTACTTACACACAATAGTATGGAGGAATTTAAATTAATCGGAGAACCAAATCCATTGGAGATGGTCTGTACAATAAAATGAGCTGTACAACCCGTCTAGGTTTATACCACTTTGGGTGTGAACTTAAGCTTTTCAGTTCTGACCAAGTAGTCTGTTGCTTGTCTTGATAACTCCCTCTGCCATGCAGACCTCAAGATGAAGCCCCACAAGCTGTGTCTACAAAAAGGCCTTTCACAAGCAGACTCCTGTTCTCTCTTACTGGCATGATCCACAAAAGCTGCTCCAAGCATTGCCTCTGAAACCACTGCCAAAGCGACCAGGGGATGACATGGCCTTCTGGGAAGCTTCAGCAGAAACCTTAACCTTGTAGTCTAACATGAGCAGGTGTTTCCCAGCACTAGCAGCAGGTAACTCTTTTTTCAAAGTTATGGGTGCCATTACATTTTGTTACTCCGTTATGAACCTACCTCGAAACATTTCATCACAGAACATGGAAAATGAGATGTGCAAGTGAAAAGCCTTTAGCTGATGTGCAAAATGGGGGGGAAAGCACAGCTTGTGCTGTATCTGAAAAAGAGAAAGAGACCAAAGAAAGCAGGGCTGGTCTCACATGAGCCTTCCAGTTAATTTTGAAAATAATGGCTCTGCAGTCTTTCATTGTGTTGGAAATGGCTGGCTGGCTTTCACTCAGTGGTTTTGCATTGGTGTGTAGTTGCTGGGTCAATGTGCTTTATATTTCTTTCATTTTGTTCATTGGTTGCAACTTTATATTCTGCTTTTTCAGTAACTTGCACTTTGCACCATGAAATGCTCAACGGCTTTCATATGGTCCCTGATGGGCAGTCGTTGACCAGAAATGGGATTAAATGGGAGCAGAGGACCACAGGATCCTGTGTCTGGAATGGCAGAAAAAGTGAGGGAGCTCATTTATGCTCTCTTTCTCTGAAACATGACCTGTAAGTTAGGCCTTCTAATTAGAAAAACTAATTAGAAGGTGGAGCGGGGAGGCATCCAAGGCTGAGCTGTTCTTGGTTTCTCCCATACTCTGAGCTGTCAGTGAAGGAGTAGGGAACAAAAGTCCACTCAGATCTTTTAACATCTCTCAAATTGCTGTTGAGTGGGAAGTGCGTGTGTCTCGCTGTGCTGCTTCAACAGCCCGGCTGGAACCAGGGCTGTACTGTGTCAAACACAGTGTGTAGGTGTGCAACCATGAGGGAGGAGGAGTACAAGGAGAATGCAGAGTGAGAAACCCTCTTCCCTCTCCTCCCCCAGGCAGAAGAGGCAGTGCTGCAAGCTGGAGAGAGGCACCAGAGCTAAGGGTGGGAAGGGGAGACTGAGGAAGCAGGGGGTCACTGGAAAAGACCAGTGGATATCCCACTGCAACCTCAGTGCCCTGTCCCCCGAAATGCTGCACCCACGCACCCTCCCAGCCCATGCCACACACTCATCCAACCCCCTGCGAGGTGCTGTGGTCAAAGGTGCCTGCCAGCTACAGAGTCATTAGTGCGAGTTTCAAAGAGGTTCAAAACCAAAACACAGTGATGAAGTGGGAGTTTCTGTGCCAAGTGCCAAGCGAACCTGAAAGGTTAGTTTACTCTTTAATGAAATTCCTGCTTCAAAGTCTCCATCTCTTTTTCACCAGGGACCAGCGCTTTCTTTAAGCAATGTTTAGAGGACATGAGTCTGCAAGGGTAATCATCCTCGCCTCTGGCAGGAAGAGCTTGTGCACTAGCATTTCTGAAAAGGGTCTCTTTGTGAATAATTGAATTTGTCTCTGGAGTGCAAGATTTCTTTTTCTGTGGGACTGACTGCAGCTTTGCTTCTTCCTTAGTAGCAACTTACTGTAATTGAGGCAGAAAAATTGTATTGCGGTGGCGGGTTTTGTGAGCGTGATGCATAATACAGTGATTGCCATGGAAAGAGTCATTTGTAGTGTTCCAAATGCCTCCTCCAGTAGTGAACGGATCTGCAGAAAATAATTAGAGGATCCCCCACTGCCACCCCCCACTCCCACACAAGGGGAAAAAAATTAATGCTGCATGAAGTGTCCCTGTGCAGCGGGGAGAGCCCCGTGCTGCAATGCACTGCTGGGGACCCATCCTGGGTGATACTCAGAGCCCATCGGTTCCTGCCACTGCCTGGGACACAGGGGACTAACATTCAGGCTTGTCCAGCCCAAAAGAAAATGCTGTGGTTCACATATCCACTGACAAGGTATGCCACTTGCTTGGGCACAGCTTCTTTTCCTCTAAAACCTCCCAGCCTCGCAGTGATTTCTGAGTTTCTCTTGAACAGCAGGAAAAATCTGCACATCCCAATGCTGAGACACTCATCCCTGTAGCTGCCCCACCAAGGAAAAGCCAAATACAGAGAGATATACTTCTTCCAGCTACCAACAAAGTCTGCTGTCCCTGGGCATGTTTCAGTACCACCTCTCATCCCTGCCATCCATAACCTGGTGTGTGACATCCAGCTGTGGCACCTACAAAGCTGCCTGTGAGTAACTTTTCAGGAAAGTGGTAGTGGGGGAAGAAGCTCTTTTATAATAATTTGCCCTGCTGTGAGCAGGACCTCAAATCTTGCTCCAGGGAAGAGGTGTCTCCCTGCCAGCAGGCTAAGTGGTGTGTCTCAGAAGTGGTTTTTGATGTCATAGGCAGAGGCAGGGCTTAGCTCTTTGTGCACATGAATGTCAGTACCAGGGTGAATGCCTATTTCAGAATCTGGGCTTAAGGTAGGAATTGGGGCAAAACTCAGCTCTGAACTGAACAAAAATCCATCGAGCTGAGAGATTTCTTTCTTGTCTGTCTTTCATCACCAAGCACAGCAACGGCGCTGGGTGGCTGCATTCAGCCAACACAATGTAACGTGGCAGCAGTATATTTTTAGAATATTATTTTAGGGGGTGAACAAATTCCAAGGGCAACATACAGGGATATGTTAACTTGAAAAAGCTGCTCAGGGATTTCTGTGGCTATTGAATATGCCACACAGCACTTGGGCTGTCTTGTCAAATTGGGATGCATATTTCAGATCAATAAAAAGGCTCATTTAAGGCTGTTTTTCTCTGTGTTACACAAAATATATTCTCTCATGGTACAAAGCTTACATGACATGATCAGCAGGAGAAGTAAAGGTAACTCCAATCATGAATGAAAGCCCAAATTTTAGATTAAAGTCCAGTTTTCTTGGACTCCAGTATCTGCAGGAAATCTCTGGGTTCTTTGTGGTCTCTGCTCTGAACTGGAAACCAGAACATATCTCTTTAATATTTTTACTCCCTTCTGTGGCTGTCGATTGCAATGGCTTGACTATTCAGTTCACCCTCAACTTCAGGACTTGTTAATCCTCTGGGACAGGTCTTTCTCAGTTTTCTGAATGACAAGCAGAGATTTCCTCCCCGGGGACAATTCCTTTAGCAGTAACCAGGGCACCCAAGCAGTAACCAGGGCACCCAGTGCATTTCGTACAGTTGCTTTTAGTGCATTTTCTCAGGTAGAGGAAGCAAAACAAGAAAGTGTGCAGAAGCATTTATCCTCCAAGAAGTGTGGAGCCCTGACTGCAGCCTCTCCAGCACTATTATCTGTTTCAGCTGGAGCTGGAAGGATAAGCCCTTCCAACCTTATCCCACATGAACATGCAACCAAAACGTTGTGTGTGCACAAATTAGGGAAGCGGTATTGATGCTGTTTACATCTGGTAGTGCACAAAATAGGGAAATGACTAGTGAGGACTTTCTTTTTCAGTTTGTACTTTGCATCCTGGAGCAATGGGGAGCTCCATAGTGAGCAAATGCTGACAGTCAGGAAAGGACATGTCAGGACCCAGATGACTTAGGGATGGACCAGCCACCCAAGAGAGGGCACTGCTTGTAGAGAGAATAGCCTGTTTAAGGGACTGTGACACTTGTCTTCTCTGCCCTGGTGGATGGACTGTAATCGTTTCTCTCCCAAAATCCCAAGAGTGGGTTGTCCTTGGGCCCCCAAGAATGGAGCTATCAGGGGCAACAAGCCTCCTTCCTGGATATACTGCCAAACACCCATCCCACCTCAGGAGGAGCCAGCAAGTAATGTATGTCTACACTGTGTATATGAGATGTCCTGCCCTTCTCTTTTTGGTTTTGGGGAAAGCAGTACGATAAGCAGGAACTCAAACCTGTTTCTTTCTGAAAAGCTGCCAGCAGCAGATCCAGTTTGCATAAGACTTGCCTGCAATGAGGTGCTTTGCTGGCAGGTGTGTGCCTAGCTCATGGAAATGCAGCGTGCTTCGAGGACAGCTCAGAAGGATGTACAGGTGACCTGCAATAAAGACAGGTGACAGGACTGGCAGGAACCATGCTCTTCTGCCTGAGGGTGCTCCATTACCAAAGCTGACAGCTGAAGGACAGTGCAGGGGTTAACCACACCAAGGAATGTTGCCGTGTGTGATGCTGTAATTCTTCATCTTGCAGGAAATAATTAATGGGCTTCTCAGGAACGAAAAAGAAAAAAATGTGAATGTACAGAACTCTCAATTCACTTCATAATAGTTTAGGGGGATTGGTTTTGTTATTTTGCTGGGGTTTTTAAAGATACTGAGTTTAGAGAGTCTAGAAATAATATATTTGAGATATTCTGGACTAACACGTGAAGAAAATGAAGCTGGGGAAAAAAAGCTTTTTTTTTTTTGTATGCCAGCTACCATGTAGTACGCAGAAAACACAGAATCATCAATGTTGGAAGAGACCTTCAAGATCAAGTCCAACCGCTGACCTAGCACCATCATAATCACCCCTAAATCATATCTCAAAGAAATTATTTATTCAACCTTATACACTTGACATGTTTTTGAGAGCATGTAAACCACTAAACTGCTTATTCTGAATTTATCTGAAAAGACAAAGAGAAAAAAATTGGTCTACAACGTGGGCTTGCAATGTAGACAATGTTTTCAACTTAAAGGTTTCACAAGATGTACTAATTTTATCACTCTGGCAGGAAACTGAGGCTTTCACATTTAATAAAGCATTTCTTTGAAGTCACGCTAAGTGACTATGTTGCACATCTGAACGGGGCGGACCATTTCAACTTCCTTTTCTGAGTCCCTGACAGGAGCACCAAGAGAGATACATATTTACCAGAACTTCATCAAGTGAAGATGGAAAAAAAGTGGCTCTTCTGTCTCTTTTGTTTCCTCTGGGTGCCCAGCATCACAGGTAGGAGTACCCATGGGACACCTTGATTCATTTTATGATGGAGGGTGGGCTTAGTGTGTCTCACTAGTGTGTCTCATGGCTACTGGCAATGATCTACTGTTTCCTGACAACTTTCTAATCACCCTAGTTATAATGTGCAACTAGTAAGGAGTAAATGGCTTGTGCTGACTAGCAGATCATTCAAATTGCCTAACCTGCCAGAATAGTAAATGAGATCAGCTCATGTGTACTTAGGGCAATGTGTGCTCATCTCAAATGGGCCAAAAGGAAAACTACTTCCACTGAGGAAAAAAACCCAAACACCACCTTTCTCTCTCTCACACAGACACACTTGTGTATGTGGAGAGAGGAAGAATTGAAACACTGCAAGGCAAGGGTAAATTGTACAGCTGCAAACCTTTAAATAGATTCTTCCCTTCTCCTTCCTCTCCCAGCTCTATGTGCTGTGTTAAAGGCTTGAGAAACAAGCTTGTCATCAGAGTAAAACTTTCAGAAAAGTAGAGTAAGGAGGGCTGCATCCCTGTCAGAGGGAGTTTAAACCAAGAAAAAGATTCATGTTCTTAACACCCTCCACCTACCACCCCCAAAAGTCTGATCATGCACAATGCAGGAATACTTATTATCAGCTAGGAAGAACAATTTTGTAGGATACACATTCTTCCAGTTAATAAAGGAAAAACTGCATGTATCTGACTGGCATGGTAAGATGCATCTCAGAATCTGACATAGCCTGTTCCTATTTTCTTCATCACTGAGCCAAACTGGATTTAAAAGAAAGGAAAAATAATTAATATGTGTATTCATAGAAAATAGAAATTCTCAAATGCAAAGAAAGAAATAGAAGCCTCAAGACATACACATGTAGGAGAGCAATACTAATTAGAGAAAAATAGGACTTGGGGGGGTTTTTCCCCTCAGGATGAAATCCTCACTGAAGTTACTCTAAGGTGAAAGTGGACACCACCATGCCCTTTGTAGAGGTCAGACACCTACATGTCTGTGGGTTAATCCAAGAGATTTCAACTGGAGTACAAGTATGAGCTAATGGACAGTATTTGATTTGGAAAAACAAAGGTGACATAAAATGAGAGTGCTTATATTGAGATGCTAACAAAAAGTTAAGAACACTTTTGCATGAAAGGGTTTCAGTTAAAGTAACCTAACATGCTAGGCTACTAACAAATAACACAAATTAAAATGTTGTTTCTACATATATAACTTTTTCATCTTAATATAAACTACTCAAGTGATTATTCATAGACATTCTTTACATGATCCTTTGACCTCATACAGCACCAGCATGAATATGAGAGTAAGCTTGTTATGTGTCTTTTGCCTTGTAGTCTGATCATAAGATTGCTAATTGCTTTTATCCTTAACTTTTACTGGTGCAAAACTTGCAGTGAAATCAGTGAGCATTTCCTATAATAATCTCTTTGGACTGACAAAAATAGTTTTCAGTAATTTTTCCTCACAACACTTGTCATTCAGGCTAGTTTTTATTTACCCTCTTACATCATCCCATCTCTTTGAACACAACTAAAAGATGAACAGAGCAAGTGGAGCAATGAAACAACAGAGATTAATGTTAGCCATGTCCATTCAGTAGCTTTGTTCTCCCCACACCTAGGCTCTACGTGTCCATGTCACACTTCAGTGGATCGGTACCAAATCTCAGCCACCTCTGTGGGGATGTGGCACCCTGCCCTTGTTCCTTTTCCCTGTCCAATCAGAGCTGATGGTGCACTGGGTCCCTGTATTGCTCCTGGCTGAGCTGGCAGAGTGTGGAGCACACTGCAGGCACCATCAAGGTTGCCTGACCTCTGACAGGGCGTGCCCTGGCTTATGTGCCCCAGAGCCCTGCACCACATGGCAGAGCACATGTCAAAGCAAAGAAATGAGTACGCACTTTTTTCAGGTGAAGGAGGCGAGCAGTGGGCACTTGCTGCCGTGGGGAGCCTGCAGTGTGCCTGGTGGGACTGCAGGGCAAATTCCCAAAGCAAATACACATTGATATAATGATACACAGGGAGGATAAAATCCAATGTAGAAGGGGGGTGACAAGTCTATATCTAAGAGCAATTGCACAGTTCATTTTTTTTGTGGACCTGCATGCCCTTTTAGAAAAGGGACTTCCTGTATATGGCTCTGTGGGTGTGATTGATTACTTGTCTCGCTACGACTCCCCCATCCATAAATTCTTCATCTCCTTGAGTTTGTCAGTATCCTGCATACAGGAGTTTGGGGACTGCAAGACTCTTACTCATAGGAGGGAGAAAGGGAGATAAATCAATTTTATTACAGCAGCAGCTAAACCAAGTAGTACAGGCTCCTGCTGAAAGCCCCTTCACTTCATCGATCCATTACTCCTTTATATGGCACACTAAGGACTGCCACCTGCTTTATGAAATTAATTGAGGAAGAAACCATACATACCAGGGCAACTCACTCTGACACTGAGACAGGCACTCGTTTAGGGCATGCAGGAGATGTTTAATAACATGGAGGTAAAGGAACAGCTTTCTCTGCCAAAGCAGCAAAGGCAAAGGCAATGGGCGGGAAAGACGGTGTGGGGCAGAATTAGCCAGCAGGGATAATTCATTTGTTCTTGCAAAAAGAGCTGGGGAATAACTGGGCCCAGTTTCTGCTTTATTTATATTACTTGAAAGATTTCCACTTTCACAGAGGCCCTCAGAGCTCCCATTTCTCTCCCACAAGTGTGACAGGAGCTCTCTGCGCTCTTCTAGACGCGCATGCATTTGCTTCCCCAGTTCTCTCTCTGCAGTCTGTACTGGTGGAAATTTGCTGTAAAACTCCCTAGAAAGCCTGTGGTTACAGTTGTAGGGTCTTCATGGTTTTCTGTGTCTAAGGCACCAAATCATGTTGAAGATGGCTTAGGAAAAGCTTTGTTTAAACATTACTTGCACTGAAAATGATCCTGTTTGTTTTTAAGGCCAGTCTAGAGACGTCATTACCCAAACAGAAGTGGTCCGTGCTCTGCCAGGTACTGACGTGACCCTGGTGTGCCTCTTCCCAAAATCACACACCACCCACATAATACAGACACAGTGGTCCAAGACTGAAGACAGCCATTCTGCCAAAATAGCTGTTTATCATCCCACTTATGGCACTCATTACTTCGAATTTTCTGAGGCTTCTTACAATTTTTCGGTGTCCTTCAGCACAAGGAAGTGCTGCAGCCAGGATGTCACAGAATCTTTGTGTTTCACCAATCCAAACACCACGTCTGAATGCAACCAGTGGGCTCTGCACCTGAAAAATGTTACCGTCACCCTTAGTGGGCAGTACAAGTGCAGTTTTGCTACTTACCCATACGGGACAAAGGCTGCAAAAATTCAACTTATTGTCAAGGCAGAAGGTAAGTGATGATGAAGGAGATGTTGCTTTATCCTAACAGGGGTGGGGGAGAGTATCAGGATAGACGAACATTTCTTGGTCGGTGATGGTGACCTGTTTGGAGTTTGCAGTGGTGCCACTGAATGTCGCTGCTACAGTTCCCTGTTTACCAGGCCCTCTTTAGTTGTTGTTATCCAGCTCATGATTAGGAAACCTTATTTGTTTGGAGGAATATGAAGCAAGGCCTAAAAGGTATTGAGATGGGAAGTTTCCGCATTTTTATTTTGGAGAAACGTGCCGTGGAGAACACTGGATGAGCAGCTCAGGATATGGCGGGACCAAGGATGGTGCATCTCCAAATCATGCTGTGCTGCTGCTAAGGGTGTGCAGCACTGGGCACCAGAAAGAGAAAACACCATTATCTGGTTCAGACTGAGGGCTGGCCTCTGCAGGGCATGCTGGGTGTTAGCTCAATGTCCCTACTGTCAAAAACACACTGGAGCAAAACAGGGGATTGCTTAGGACAATCACAGGAACAGAGACTTGGCAGCTTCTGTCAGCCAAAAGAAAGCTGTAAAGCAGCATGACTGTTCTCGGTAAGTAAGCCTCAGGGGAGTGTGTGAACTCTAGGGAGGATATTTAAATTATCCCAGCAAAGGAGCAAATTGATTTAAATAGGCGGTAATGGATTTGACTACAAATTAAACAACAGTGGCAATTGTTAGTGCAGCAACATTGGGAACAGCTATTTAGTGTCAGCAGTGAGGGCAAAAGTCCAAATTGCTGTGAAGATGGAACTGGGCAGGGACACTGAACAAGCCTGCTGTTCTGCACATGGGGGACTGGATTTGATGACCCCAGAAACCTCTCTCTGACCCAGGTTTCTGCTAACAACCCAAGCAGGATTAAAGTAAATGCAACAAACCCGGCACGGTTTCAGTTCAGAGCTGTAAGGCCAACATGCTCACTCTGCTTTTGCCCAGGGCTGTCGGTGTAGCAAACATTCAAGGGCTAGGAGCAGGGTGGGTGCAGGTTATTTCAAGGGTAGCAAAGGGCAGTTCTGCTCCTACTGCCCTTTTACCTTCATGATGAGGCCAGACTGGTGGCAGGAGGGACGTTGGTTCCCATGCTGGATCACACTGGTCCTGCAGCAGGAGGAGGTTCTGTGCAAGACTAATATGCAGGAATGTTTAACCCTCACTCCCTGATGGCCCCTGCATGGCAGTGGCTCCAAGCATTTTGGTGCTTTTATCTTGGAGACACACCTCGGGCAACCCTGCAGAACCTTCCTGCCCTGATGAACCCACAGGGGCAAAATGAGAGCCAGCACCTCTGCACAAGCCACAGAGGATGGGTGTGTTTAAACAGTACACATTGGATAACTGTGCCAAAGATAAATCTGCTGCTCCACCCGCTGTACAGGGGTGTGTCATGGTAGGTTCCTCTTGGGGAATTTTCCTGTGCTTCACAGGGCAGAGCGATTGGATCAAGGGGAGTGCAGTGAGGTACAAACAATGCTGGTAACCCTGTGAAACCCTCCTGTGTTTCTGTTCCTCATACCATGTGTTCTCTGTCTCTTTCTTAACACAATAACAGTGCTAATCAGGCATTGCTCCTTTTCTCTTGCTGGTGCCCTTGGTTGATATGGGCATGTTCAACACTGTTATTGCCATCTATGCATTAAACGTGGGCAGCTCTTGTTCATATCAGCATCGTTGTGGCTTTTTTTGGTAGCTACCTGAGGTAGCAAGCTGTGATACCAATAGCTGCTTGCTAGAGAGAACTAAAAAATTCAGTTTGCTACCTCTTGCAGGTTTGTATTTTAAGGTAACCAGATCTTTTGCAATGAACCACTTCCACACAAAAGAAGGCAAAACCCCCTTAATCCAGTCTATGAGTGGAGTGGATAAGGGTGCTAGTCACTGACGAAGTAGTTTCCAACTACGTCAAACTGAAGTGAATCCAGATGGATTCAGCTTGTAGATACTGCTAAAAACCTGCAGAGCAGCAGGCCTGCATAGGACAGACAAACACGGAGGACTTAGCCAACAGGCTGTTAGTGGAGATGGGAACAGAAATGGGGGAGTGGGAAACAAGCAGCTGGGATGTGACTGTAAGAACAGGCGGAGACTGTTTGCAGGCTGAACTTCTGGGGTGACTACTCATGTCTGTACTTGTTGTATGCTTCATGGCACTTTTACATGGTAGATTGTCCCAGCAAAGTCTCCTGTGCAGCTTTCTTCCTGGACAAGCTATAGATTTATTTGCTTCTTTTGTCCTTTTCTTATCCTTTCTGCATTATCCAGCCCCTTAGGGCTTCTGCACTCTGTGTCCTACTGTGAGAGCTGGCTCCTCAGATGCTTCACTCTGGTGGACTGTGCAGGAAAGCTGCTTCTGCCACTGAGTTTCCTGGTCACAACTCTGGGCACTGCCTTTCTTCACATCCCCGTGGCACAGGCTCTGTGCTGGCATCGTTTCTCTGTGCTTGCGTGCCAGATACAAAGGAATTTACAGTCACTGTGAAGTCCCCACTGACTAATAACATGACAGTCCGGGACAGCTAGATATTCTCACTCCCCCTGAGATAAAAAAATAAAAGAAATACATATCTACTCCATCTCAACATACAAACCAGAGCTACCAGGGGAGCAAAGCTGAAGAGTTTCCCTGGGGTGTGCTCTGGTGCCTGCCTGCAGGGAAGAGGGAAGGCAGGTCACAGCAGGCAGGTAGGATGTCACAGCAGGCTGTGGCAGGGAGGATGGCACAGCAGGGTGCACCACACTATCATCCACTGCACGGCTGGGGGTCAGAGAGGCCAGTGCTGACCACACCGCTTGTGTGTGGCACCTCCAGCCCATCACCACTGCTCTTCCTGTTTGAATGCACACATACACCCCACTTCTTAGCCACAGCTGTGCTCTTTCCAGTGCACCACTCCGCCCTCCCACAGCTGGGCTGGAGCCCTGGGCTGGGAATGGGTAGGATAGGAAATGCTGAAATGCCTTTTCAAATGGATAAGGAAGAGTAACAAGTTTTCTGCTTCTGGAAGTGGGCAGATTGGAGAATAACAACAGGAGCACTTACACTGAAAAAAGGGGTTACTCTTAACCTGACTGACATGCTGAATACCCTGCTTAGAGAAAAGAAGGTCTGCAGATATCTTCAGAGGAAACGAAATACGGGTGCACAAAATTGATGTGAAGGTTTATTGCCACAGGAAAAAAAAATTGTTAGAGAAAAATTGAAGCTTCAAATTATTCTCAGCTCAAAAAGGAGACATCTTGATCCTGCAGCTAAGAAAAGCTTTTATAGGAATTGCCAAAAATTCAGGTAAAGCTGTGAATTGAGTCATGAAACTACATCTAGAATCAGATGTAGGGCTTTCACTTAACAAATGTGTCTATTGGTAATGGCTGAAAATTACAGTTCCATTCTAATAAAAAAAGTGTCTGTTCATTGAACAGAAGACTAGTCAGTGTTGGTTTTCAAAGCACAATGAACATCATGTTTCTGATTTTCCTTCTTGGGCTTTTTGTTGTTGTTACAATGATAAAAGAGGAGCAGCACTACCTGAAGAAAGTGTGGTTAAACCAGACTTTAGAAATTCCATGCCTTGAGGACACGACCTCAGAAAATTTGTCCACTTATCCTTTGAAATGGCTAGTGGTAAGTATTTTTCATCTCAGGTATAAAGTTCAGAAAGGACTACAGGGTATTTCTGCAGACTGAAACAGAGATGTTCTATTCTAGTGTGTCCTGCAGAACCTGCTAAACAAAGCATATCAGTCACATTAGACTGTGATAAAAAAAGGGAAAAAATATAAACACGGGTTTGCCACATACACACCATAATAGCTGTTAAAGAAACAAAGAGGGAATTTTTTTTTATTTTTTAATTTTTCAGGACCACACACAGAGCAGGGCCACAGACAGTGGCAAATATAACAGAAGTAAAATATTTCTTGTGTTGGATTTCTCAGGGTCTTTTTCTCTAGTGAGGCTTTAGTATCTGAAAAATACATGGTTACTGTGTAGGGTAGTAAGATATCAAGCTGCTTTGAGATAAAAAAAGGTACTGACTAATATTTTTGGTTTTGTTAACCTCTGTGTCACGGATCCCCACTGAAGACATGCAAACCTAGTTGTCAAGCTAAGCACATGAAAAACTACTTTAAAGCAATTTGCTGTGAGATGTAAAGCTTGCTATATTTTTGTACTTTATCTCACTCTCTGGATAAATATTTATAAGCATGTTTTAATGTAACCTTTTAACATTCATTTCAGCATATAAAGATAAGTATCAGCAAGCAGTTTCTTAAGCTTTGCCTGTTCATTTATATCCATTGTCACTAAGGAGCTGTAACTGTTGAGGGTTTTCTTAAAGGTGATTTTCAAATATTTTTGGGTTTTTAACCTTTTGTCCTGATTCATTCTTAATATTAAAATTTTAAGGGAACATCCTTTTCCTTACTAATTTTTAGTTTTGCTAGTTCACTCTACAAAGTAGCAGACGAAAGGAGAAAAAAAACCCAAAGGTCAGCACAATGACATATGTGGATTGCCATGTGTCATGCAGAGTAAAGCTGGCAAATATGTACTGGTACAGATGTCCAAGATGTACCTCTATCTATAGGCTATACCTATATCTAAGGGTGGCTGCCACACAGATAATAAGAGGAGATGACTTTTGGTTAGTATTATCAGATTCTAGCTATTTAAAATTCTAAAAGAGCAAAGTTTTTTCTGAAATTTCAGTCGTATTTAATATGTATGGGATGTTCAGCATAACTTAAAGACTGGTGCAGTGAGAAAGCAGCTCTGTTGTCCTCTCTGCAGGATACAGAGATCAGGATTCATCAGACACAGCTATTTACTCCATATTTTATTGGTAAGAAGATGACCGCTCTTGGTGTTGAAATTCTGGAAGAGAATGTATTCAGGAAAAAAAAATAAATGTTGCAAATGTCCACACAATGCTAAGGGTGAGAGGGAAGATTTTTATAGTGGGAATAGAGCTGGCCTACAAAAATATTTTTCTCTCTGGGTGTCCAGTCTTCACAATATGGTTGGTTTTTCTTTTCACAGGGTGACAATGGCAGAAAAGAGGAACTTGTGACCAAGGAGCCCTCCTGTCCTGCCGTGTACAGGAACAGCAGCGCAGTGTACGGGCAAAGAGTCCACCTGGGTTTGAACAACACTTTACAGATTTTCCCCATCAAAATCACTGATGATGGCAGGGTCTTTTCCTGCCACGTGGTCTATCACCCAGAGAGAGTCCGGAAGAGCAGCACCACTGTGAGAGTATACGGTAAGGGGCTTATGCCAACTGCCTGCTTCCTTGCACTTGGAAGGGTAATGCTCCTGTCTGGTTCTGAAGCCAATAATTTGAAACACACTGTTTGTTGTTTTTTTTTAAGATAAACATATTTACATTGTAATTTTTTCAGTTGCAACGAGGTAAAATGTTAGAAAATAACCCTTTAGTTCTTAGAAGAATTTGAGGCCATTCCTTCAACTCCTTCAGTTTCTGGAATTAAAAAATAGTAGATTTGTTGCACATATATCACCCCCACTGGCAGGCACATGGCCAGTATCTTCCCCTGATGTGTAGGTTTATGTTTGCAGGCTACAGGTCATCAAGATCTCTGTGCCCCAAATGACCATGCTGCCTGTGGTTAGGAAATCATGGCTAAAAGTTAGTAAGCAGTTTGGAACTACTGTTGTTGCAAAGTCACATCCTCGAAGGTATGTGATATTAAACTGCTGCCAAACACTCTGGCTCTGGAAATGAGGGTCCTGGCTGGGGAGTCTACAACTGGTCAGGAGTGGTATAGCCTCTGTACTGTAAACATGTGGGCTGCCATTTCATGCTGGAAGCCTTCCCCATGTTTAGTTACTTGCTCTGTTCCCTTTCTAGTGGCTTAGAAACTCTACTCTACAATTGCTGAGGTACAATAGAACCAGAAAAATGCTGCCCACTTGAAAACCAGGCTTTGTTTTCTGTTTATAAACCGGTTGGTCTGGAAAACATATTTCCAAAGCTTCTAAAATGAATGGGTGTTAAACAGTGGGTCTGTCAACAGTCTTTTGACTGTAGCTAATTGTCCAAGGAAGCCCACACCTTGAGGCTGGCATGGCCATGCGAGGCTGATGCTCTGAATAAACAGGAAGGTTCAACAGGGAGCAGCAAAAAAAAAAAGAAAAATGTGTCTGGGGGCTGTTAGTCACTGATGTAAAAGAAATAAAAATAGAAGTTAATAATCTGAAATCTCCTCTTGCGTTTGCATGATTCAGACACGGGTTTTATTTTAAAATATTGACATTTGTCAAATAGCGACAGTGTTACCTGGGTAATTGTTCAAGTATACTAACATACTTGAACTCTCCCTCCCCTCCATCACTGCTGATGCTCTCACCTTGATTTCTGCGTCTGTTAGCCTAAGAGGTTGCTTTATTTGGATTTTCCCAGAATTACTGTGAGGTGTGTGCTTGTCTGTGCATGCGCCCACATCAGCGTATTAGCACAACAGGGTAGAGAGGCAAACAAGAGAAGGCAACTGTGGCTCTTGGTGGTGAACAGCCCATGTATTTCCCAGTAAGTGCTGGCTGGCTTTGAGGGTGCTGTGCTGTCAGCCTCTCCCACAGGGGTCCTGAGGGCAGGGTTAGGTGCAGGGGCTCCCTGAGAGCCCTGAGGTTTGTGGAGGGCACTAAAGGAAAGTCTCTCAGACTTCAAGCAAATAGAGTCCACATCTCGGAGGAAGTGTGTTTTTGTGCTCCTAGCCCTTCTACATCTGATATTTTTCAGGTAAAATAACTATTTTGCATCTGGTCTCACTCTTTTCTGTTACTATTCCCTGAAGTCATGCTGCTTATGATTGCATCATACCAGCCTTTCTCCATTTACCTCTCTTGTCCTGCAGCAGGATGTGAGGCCAAGAGCAGAGGGTTTAGAGCCTCCCCTGCACCATCACACATACCTGTGCACCACTGGCAGGGCAGAATAGGCAGAGACAGTGGCCAGAATAATCCAGCATCTAGGGACAAAGAGCCTTTTCAGATGAGAACCCTTCTCTTTTTCCTTGTGCTTACCAGGGAATAAAGAAATGAACTTTTATGTGATATAACAGTTAGATCCAGCCTCAAATGGCTGGGACAGAATCTAGAGATAGTATGTGTATACAACATCAACAGCACATTATATTGGTTATATCTGCTGTCTTGGCCCTTAGCAAGGACACAGCTAGAGAGCAAAGCCCAACTGAAACCTGGGGAGATTTTCCCATCTTGGCAATCCCCCTGTCACCCAAATACTCCTGCAATTGAACCCCACGGGCTGGGGGTTATGAAACAGAGGAGAGGGCAGGTGATATTGCCTGCAGAAGGCTCCTTGTGCAGGATCACTCTGACAAATGCTTCAGGCAGGGCTAAACACAGCAGAGACAGACCAAGTCTGAGGGGCAGTGAAGTGGCACTTCCTCACAGTTGAGAGCTGGGCAGGAGAGGATGGGAAAGGCCTGAAAAAGTCTCTCAATGAAGTTGAGAGTCTTCGTAAGTTGAGTAAAGACAGATGTTTGAACAAGAGAGCTTTTTTTAAGGGGGTACTTTTGGACTGAAATACTTTAAAATATTTCTTTTCTAGAACAGAGTTCTTTTAGATACAAGTTTCTCGGAAAACATACGGCCTTTTCAAGTCTAACTTCACCAAATATTGATTTTCCCTTTTTGTAACAGTAAAAGCTCAGCTGCAGAAACTACTGAACTAAATATTGAATTTCCACTAGATACAAAACATTGGTAAATATCCTAGCAAGACAAGTGAATGTCAAAATGTTAACAGAGGCTAAGATGTTAATTGCAAAACATCTATTAGATTATTCAGAGCTATGCATGAGAGTTACCCAGCAAACATGTCTTCTGAAAAAGCAGAAGACAGCATCCAATACAGATGTGGAAAAGTGTGCCTGTTCTCATCAAAAAACAAAGAGAAGAGCATGCACTAGACTAGACGTCATTTAGTCTCCCAGGCAACTTTTTGCTGAGATTAGAAGATCCAGTTTATCAGACTTTTTCTTACATCTGAAAAAGTATGCTTGTCTTCTGCCAGCTCCATGACCATCTGTACAGTTTTGGCAAGGCAGAAACAAGAAGGAAATCTTAATACATTCATTTTCTGATTGGAAGAATCTACCAACCTACTTCCCAAAACAAAACAAAGCAAAATAAACGAGTAAAGAGCAAAACCAAGAAGGAAAAAATATATATATAAAAAAGGAAACTTCATCCAAAAGTACCCTGAGATCAGAAAACCATAAGGCCACGATAATTAAATACAGGTCATGACCAGGCATAATCCGTCAGTAACATTAAGCAGAAAAGTGGAAATTAAAAAAAAAAAAAAGAAGTCAGGAGAGTCCTGAGAGGATTAGCTATATAATACAAAAGGGAAACTTGAGCAGTTCAGCTCAGAGGGGAATGTAAGGGACTATAACAGGGTAAGAAAAAAGAGAAAAGTATCTTAATGGTAGAGAATAAAGTGAGGTTTAAGTTGGAAAGAGAAAGAATTACAGATCTCCTAACTAATCCAGGGGCAGCACTTGTTTCCAGTCAAGTTTCAAGGCTCAGAAAAGGCCAGAAGTACAATTTACCTGAGGCTTTTGAGATTTTTTTATATATTAATACAGTTTCAACAGTCCTTACTTAACAAGTCAGTTAATATTACTCCAAAGCAGGGATTCCGATGGCTACTTTAGAAATACCGACTTAGAAAGGCTTACAGTACCTGATAGCTTTAATTTGTACAGTCAACTTCACCCAGAACCAACATGCTGCAAAAACAAAAGAAAACACTTTTTCCATTTCATGTGGATGTGGTCATCCACAGCCTGCTGTTCTGATGTGAAGGTGAGCTCTGGGCTTCCTGGCAAGGCAGGAAGCATCTGTGGTGTGACACTGCCACACGTCTGTCCAGGTGACAGCACGTGGGTGGCTGGTACCCAAAACCAATCAATGTTTTTGGAGATGGCTGAAGCCTTTGGAGATGACTTTGATTGGCAAGCACCCAGAGGAACCAACAACTGGGGTGTGTTTCATTTCATCAGGCCCAGAAAGGGTGGCTCTGCTGCCAGAGCTGTGACTGCAGGATGCTTTCATCTTGTTTCCCCAGCAAAGCCACCCTAGAGTAGTTCAGATAGACACTGAAACACATCATGAATCCTGTGGCAGTAGCTGCTGATCTGTGCTTGTAAACCACTTCCTTGACCTCAAATTGCAGCTGTGCAAGCTTTTATCTTGCTACTTGTGTGGGTGGAGTTAGGATTTAATTTCAACTCTTTTTATGAAACAAGGCTGTTAAGTCTTCTTAGAAGCTGTTACTGTGATCTTCAGTGTCCATTTCACTAATACATATATGTTTGCTTTCCAGCTTACCCTGAGATCTCTGTTAGCCTGCAGGAGGGCTCAGCTGGCACCTCGCAGAAGGTGAGCAATTTTGGAGCAAAGAGTAAGGCCTGTGACTGCCACCATGCCACCCCAGCAGAGCCAGGCAAGCTGAGCTGAATCAGGCATGGGTGGAACATCCAAACTGACAAAGCTCACAGGTCAATGGGCACGGCAAAGAGTTAATGTCAGCTGTTCATGCCCTTTCCTCTGAGCAATTTCCATCCTCTCAGCAGTGAACTTCTTTGGTGAGCACAAACTTGACCAAGCTAAGGGCTTCTCTGATGTGTGGGCAAAATCTGGTTTTATGTTAGCCCTGGGGAAGACTCCAGGACAGATCAAGAGGCTATGTGGTTTGCAGGGGGCTGCAAATCTCCCTTTCCCTCCCCATCTGCTGGCTACTACCCAACAATCTCGAGCTGCCCTCTCCACACTGCATAAAATCCCTCTCTGGAAAAGGTCACCTGCTACCCAGGATGCTGCTCCAGGGGGTCAGGGAGAGGCAGCCTCTACCTTCCCCACAGCCCCCCTTAGGACAGGGAGGAGCAGGTGCTGTGGGAACAATGCTTGGAGCACGGACATGGCCTAACACGCTGATGAAAAGGTGGTGATCGTGTTGGGCATAATGTATCACACTGCAAGCCTATCTCATCTGGGGCAGTCAGATGCCAGTAGAGCAACTAGATCTAAATCTGAGAGTCCCTATTTAGAGATGAGCAGTTACCCATGTGTTTTGAGGCCTCTGTTTTCTCACATGCTTGGTAATGGCAAAACCTAAAGGTCTGCAGATCTGCAGTGGCCATACTTGGCATAAAACATATTTGTGGCCCATATGACTGACTAGCAAGCCACTCTGGCTACTAGCTAGGCTGCTTTGCTTCCTGTTCCATCTCTTCAAGTTGAAGCTTTTGGTCTGTGAGCATTCATCCCAAATTAAGGTTTTCCTTGGAAACAGAGCTTGTGGGCAGGCAGAACCTTGCACTAGCCATATCCACCTGCTTCAGACAAGCCATGAGTCAGTCAGTTCTGCAAAACTGACTGGTATAATTTTCCCGATGACCTATTTCCGTGTGTGGTGTTGGATATTGCAGGCTTTTATCTGCACAGTCCTGTTGAACAGAGCAAGGGTGCTGCCATCATGAGACTGGACAATAGAAACTCCTCTGTCGGTTCTTCATCTCCAAACAAACACCAACTCCTTTACTTCTCTTTTCTTCTTTTTCTTGCAGGGCTTAAATCTAGTAAAGATATAGGATTTGTGTTTCTTCATAAGGAAGCATTTATAAAAATATTATGACCCAAAAGTGCCTGAAAAATAAGGGAATAATGAAGAGAAAATAGGGGAAAGCAATACAATTTACCATGGGAGGGAAAGAGTTTCAGCTGGGTAGTTTCAGTCTTTGTACTGAATGATTGACTTCTCCTGGCTGTAATACATCAAGCTTGCTTTCAACTAAATGTGGGAACCACTTTCTTCAAAAGTGGGAGCAAGTGGGCCTTGTGCTGCATGAGTAGCACATGCTTTTTTCTTTTTTCTGTTTAAAAGGACAAGGCAATTTCTCTTATAGCAGTGCTTAGTACTTAGCAGTGTCATAACCTGCTAAATAAATGTAATTGTAAACATCCAGGCAGTATGAGGATGAGACCTCCCACCTTGCTAGTGCCCAGCCCTTCATCTAGCCTTGATTTTGAGGTTCTTCCCATCTATTGCTTGATGAGAAATTAAATGGAGCACAAAAACAGATTTTTGGAGCAATTGGCATAGAGCCAGGACTACTGCATCTAAAGCATCAATTTCTGGAAACCTCTTGCATATTGTGCCTGCTACAAAGGTATCTAATTTTGTGTATTCAACAGACTAGGCAGTCTTTTTCATGGGATTTGTCTCTCCATCTGCCTAATGAAGGGAGGATTCACATGGTGATCAGAAGGTGTCTTATTCTCCATACACACACTGCCCATTACCAATTCCAGTGTTTTTCCATGTGGATGTTCATCACTGGAGGCAGGAGGGGTGGGGGTCACCCTACATCTTTCCAGCCACAGCCAGGGCTGGAGAGGGTTGGAGCCTTTTCATCCAGAGCAGTGGTGTGTCCCTGGACTCTCATTCAGCACTGCCCACAACCAGAAAAATTAAGGGAGTGGGCAAGAAACACAATAAAGAGGAAGGAAGTGCGTCCTTCCACAGCAGGATTGTGAGTTAACAAGCACTGTCCATAAGGGAATTTGGAAGCTGGCAGCAGGGTGAGGATGTTGGAGTCTAACCTAATAACTTCCTTTTCCTGCCCCATAGCCCAGCGTGAGCTGTGTTGTGAGGAAGGCGTTTCCCAAGCCCAGCCTTGTGTGGTACGTGGACAGAGCAAACCTGTCGGAGCAGCCCGGAGGTAAAGCAACCTGTCAGTAGGACAATGGCACAACTGTAGAAGTGGTTCCCAAGAGAAGTGATGGTTGCTCATCCATTCCTGCCACAGGGAGCCTGCAGGAGTCTGTCTGGGTGCAAGGGAGAGTGTCAGACCTCCTCAAAGGGAACAGATGGCAAATGGCTGTGACCACAGACCCCTGCAATTGCTAGGGATGGGAACCATGGTTTGGTATAACCACACTGTTCTTGACAGATCTTTGGTAGTGTCTCAGCAAAGAAACCTGCATCTATATGAGCCTGTTTTCAGTACCAGTATTATGCACAGTTTTGATTTATGGTCTGGAGTGAACGAGAGGGCCTTTTTCTTTTTTCCCCAAGAAATTCCTGTTGTACAAGAAGATTTGCAAGACAGTGAAGGTTTCTATCAGATGAGATCAACGCTGATGCTGCAAGGGACCCAAGAGACACATAAGACATTCTCATGTGCATGTCTGTTTCCTTCCCTCGGGAGTGAAATATGGAATATTTCATCGGAAGAAATATTTGTTTCATTTGGTAGGTTTTTCATAGATGAAACACATCTGAGATCTTAAGAACACCAAGCACATGTATTCACTGTTATTTAAAATACTGAAGAAATACCAAGTGTATGGAAGCTTTATTGTACAAGTTCATCTCACAGCTTGAACTTTCTGGCAGGTTTTTTAGCTCAAGTCTTTGCTTAAGCCTCTAAATGAGCTAAGAAACTCCTGCACAAACAGAAGATCCTTGTTGTTTGTTTAGGCAGTGTCTTGCTGTACTTCCCATATCCAAAAATAGATTAGCATAGCCACACGGACCAGTGAGCTATTATAATCATGTGTTTCCCACTGAGCATTTGTGGCAAAAAGTCTGCATGTGTGCAGTGCAGCTCCCTGGAAATCTAAACCCTCAGATCAGGGTTGTGTTATACATCTTCAGTGAAACTTGCAAAAGGTTGAACCATTTTGGACGATGCAGAAACTTCCCTATAATCTGTACCATAAGGATTAGCTACATGGTTAGGGAAGTGGGTATACATGCTGTCCTGCTCTTTTGGTGAAAGCAGGAGACTCAACATTACAGAGGGTTTTGGCACTTCTGAGAATGCAGGGGGGCTGGTGAGAAGATCTGACAGATTTCCTTTAGCACCCTCTTGTTCATGTCTCCTCCTCAGGTGCAAATGCACAGTGACACTTTTTTATTATTTTTATTATTATGATGATGATCCTTGCTGCACAGACAACAGGACTGAGCTGCTGACCCCTTAGCAGCATCTGCTGGTACATCATGTACCTTGGCAACTGCTTGCATCTCAGCTGTGTTCACTTGTGGCTGTGGATATGTTTATTGGTATGTTTTTCCACAAAGTAAGACTGCATCAAAAGCCAGAGCTGAATCCTCTGGAAATATAGCTTCAGAGGGAAGGGAGATAAATCACCGTTTTCTCCAAAATTACTCATTTCACCCAATTTGTAGTTTTGTAGAAATATCTTCAAATTGGAGAGCCATCAATTTAAGCAGTCTAAGTTCTTGCCTGCAGGTTATGCTAATGCTAAGATAGATCCACTCTGTATAAAAACATTAATGTATTTAGATATGACAGAAAGGAAAGAATCACATTAATTCTCAGCCATGCCTTCTGTGAAGGTGCACAGTATGACACAAGCCCAAACTAAATTTTCAGCCTTTATAACTACTTTAAAGAACTGGTTTCACCTTTCTCTTTTTTTTCTTCACAGACAATAAGTCTAATGAAGCTTCACCTGAAGCTTTTCCCACCATGGTTTCAGAAGGTAGGATAAATTAAGAATAAAATAACTTGGGTTGTGCTAGAGGAATCTATAAATTCCTGAAGTTGTAACACTTACTACAGCAAGAAACCCCTTCCTGCAGCTATGACTTCAGAGAAAATACAATAAACAGATATTTTGGTGATGTAATCTATCATAATTAAGAGCAAGCATAATTAAACTCCAGCCTTGAGGGGCACATAATGTTATTTCTGATGCTTCAGCTGGCATTTGAATAAAGCTCTTTCAACACTGAAGTAATAATTAAAAATAACAGCCCTGTTAATGGTTCTACCTTCTGCTTAAGTACACAGCCAAGATCCTCAACACTTTTGCCTAATTAAAGAACTGATAGAATGTTTCTTAATTTGTGTAAATGTGGTAAATCTGTGCTCTGCCCCTGCAAGTTTGTCTTATTATCAGCTTATTGCAGACAGATAAATGTTCCGTCCACACCTCAGCTGAAGCCCTTTGGAGACATCTGTCCTGGAGCAGTTTGTTCTGCTCCTCGTGGGAGGCAGCTGCACTTTAGCAGTGGGTTACGTGAGTGTGTCAGAGAAATGTTGTAGACAGATGGCATGAAAAGAAGTGTGGGTTTCTGTGTAAAAACTTCTACAAGTGCAGGTTGTGGCAAGCTCTGGGGGTTCAGCTAATACCCCACTGCACACCAGAAAGTCATCCCAGTCACTGGGGGTCCCTGAGAGAGAGACTCTGTTTTCCACCGGCCTCTGCAAGGTGATGTCTCACAGGAACCCTGGCAGCTCGCATCAGGTCACCATTCTTCTTTATCTTGCACACTCTGCATAAAGTCACTGGGAGCTGGGCACACCTCAAGGTGCCCACTGCCCTGGTTTTCAGACCTGCTGCACCTTTGCTAAGGAGTCCTTTATGTCAGCCAGCTACTGCAAAATCCCTGCTAGTGCAGGCGAGGCTAAGATGAAATGCAAATGGAAAAGAACAGCCAAAGGAGGTACAAGTGCTTGCACAGAAAAGCAGCTGGAGAGTTGATAGTTACCTACTTTTACTAAGATCTGATCTGCAGAGGGTTGCTCCCACCCAGTGCCCTCCACATGTGCCCAACCACACAGAGGTAGGTACCTCTGGCTGCCTTCCCAGATGTGTTTTTCTAATGGGGTGTGTGAGCTTCCATAGATTATGTCCTTCATGGAGCCCTTTGGGGAGACATAATCCATCCTCCTAACCTACTCGGGGAGTACTTTGCCTCTTCTCCTGGGGAAAAAAAATACTGAAAAAAGTGAGAGATCTCTTACTTAGGACATAAATGCTGCTTGGGCAGGATGGTGTCTCTGCTGCACTTGTCTGGGTGGTTAACAGTTCTTTAATTACAAGGAATAACTCCCCCTCCTCTTCTCTGAGGACTCAGTGAGCATTTTTCAGCGCAAAGGGTCTCTGAAATTTCCTGTCAAGAGTTACAGCCTCCAAAGCGCCTCGTGGATGGAGCTGTGCAGGTGCCACCACCAGCTCATATTTGTTATTTCAACATCTGTGCTAATAAGGTGCATCTCTTTGAGTGGAATAAACCCATGTGATTCACTTGTTCTTCTTAAGTTGAGGTGCCAGGGGCTCCAAAATTTTTCCCCAAAAACCTTTGTTTCCCTAGGGATGTCACAGCACAGTTACCTCAGATGCTTCATGTTTCTCTCCAGACCACTTAGCTGAGTTGTGCATTGAAAGATTATTTGGAAATTAAATGTGATGTACTTTCTCACTCTTGAACCTTTGAATCACCCACTTTCCTAAAGCAGAATAAACACCTTCCTTATGCTGTTTGTTTTGATTTGTTATAGACCTTGGTAATTCAACACTTACATCAGCTGTCATGACTGCCTCAGGTAAGGAGGATAAAATAGAAGCCTTCATTATACAATATATGTATATTGACCACTGCTTAAATGTCATGTACACAGGGCCAGAGATGTGTCAGGGAAAGGTCAGTGTGCTCTGGTACTGATGGTACCTGTGTCCTGCTGGATGGGAATTTGTGAGCTGTGAAGTCACTCAAGCAGAGATCCAACAGAAATCTTACTAAAACTGTCACGTTAGGACAGCATGTAAAATGGCATCCTGAATATTACATGTTATTTTTATGCATTTTTATAAAATGGAGTATTATACCTATAGAACTGTAAATAAATTTGTCCTATTATGACAGAGAGATGCATGTGATAGAAAAGTTAAAGCCACCACTTTTCCTTGACCCAAGAGCAGCACATCATTCCCCTTCATTAGTTACGTAAGATAGCTAACTCTGTTTTACCAGAGCCTGCACATGGGTAACTACATAAAACTCTCTTCAGCAACCGAGAGGAAAACCCGCAGGTGATCTCCTTGGCTTATGTGGCTGTGGCATGTTGTCATGGACCATTTCTGGAAAGGCTCTGGATAAATGGGGGAGCACCACCATCAAATGCATGATCCACCCCACAGCAGTTAAACTGTACCCTGTGTATAAAAACATAAGTAAGTAATGTCTCCAGCCAGCTCACGGGAAAGGGCCAGTATTAATAACATCAGCCATCTGTGAGTGCCCCCTGAATTTGTGGGATATGTTTTGAGCATTTAGCCTTAAGTCTGACAGCAGGATTTCTGCTGCAGAGTCTGCATTTACCCAACAGCTGCCGCAAGCTTTGATCTAGGCTGTTTTATGATTTATTAATATTATTTTCTAAAGAACCTATCAGCTAAATGTGATACCATGTAATCTGTTTGTCTTTAGAGCCCCAGTCGACATCTTTGGCCTCTCTGGATTTCACAAGTCAAGCAAACTTGGCTCCTGCTTCCATAACACAAGGTAATCAATTAAGCCAAAATGTTTTTTCTATTGCTTCAACAGTGTAGGAGAAAAACACATAGACACAACAACCATCTTGCTTTTTTTGTAGCAAACAATTTACTGTCTCCAGAAACCCTTTTCCTAGTGCATTATACGCTAGGAGGTACAGTAACCACAGTCAGTATAACCACAGTTCAAAAGTAAATATATGAGAGAATGCTTCAGTGATTTTATCTTTTTTAATGCTCCATTTAGGATATATGCACTAAATTTGGCAACTGAACTGACATCGATTATATATTAATTAGTGTTATTATATTATATTATTTACAAGGAATACCTATTTTCTTTAATTAAAGGTCACACCAAAATAGAATTACATTAGAACTAGAAAAAGTGCAACCCAAACATCGGAGCACAGAAGTCCAAATACAAAGCAACAATAAACAAAACGTTTACAACAGGTAACTCAGTAATTTCTTCTTTAGGCTGGCAACACCAAGGCCAGTGGAGGGCAGAGTAACACTTGGAAGGGTTTAACCTCTCTTGCCAAGGGAGAGGTTAAACCAGTGGGCTGGACAGTGCAGCAGCAGCCTGAATCAAGAGCAGGTAAAGCTGAGAACCTCCTACCTTCTGATCTCAAAATACAGCGTTAATGCCCACCAGAGAGAGCAGAGTGCATTTTCTTGCAGCACAGCCTGTCTGCAAGCACTCTTTTCTTTAAAGTCTATTTTGAAGCCCAGCTGTTGATCCCTGTAGGACTGGCTGGTTTTAAGCAGCAGATAGAAGGGTGCTGGGGCAGCCCTCACTGGCAGCAAGGAGAGTTGTGCTCACTGCCACAGCTCCTGACTAAACACACACATGGCACACACTCTTCATTTTAGACAAAGAAGCACATGCAAAACAGCAGTGCAGGCAGCACAAGGAGGAGGCAAAATGGCAAGTTGTTGTTCCTCTCCTTAACAGCACCATAGCTTCGGCTCAGGAATGATGCACCACTGAGGTAGCCACCAGCAAGAGTGGATTTGGCCCTTAGTATTTGCAGAAGCCTTGTTCTCCCAAACAAAAAAAAATTTGATTGCAACAGACTTTTATGAGCCTGTGGGGCATTGACTCTTCTCCTTGGGCTGTGTAAATTCAATCCTGCAACCCTCCCTTAAAGTAACCTTAAACCTTAAAGTTACTCTCTAGCAGAGATAAGAGAGCAATGTGAAGGGCAGCAGTTGGGGGTAACACTGGAGGAAGACACCAAACACAAGGCTTCCCTGCGGGACTTGAATCACTCAGCATAAAGCCCGGGGGCACAAAGAGGCTAGACAGAGATATGCCAAGGCAGGAACACAGACTGCAGTGGCACTGAAATGAAAGTTTGCTGCTTCTCATGCTGCTGTCCCCATCCCCAAAACAGAGACACTTGCCTGGCTGCGAGTAGAACAGCAAAGTTGCTTGTCCAAGTGGACTGAAAGCCTTTCTGTTTCAACAAAAAATTTAATGACAAAGGCTATAAATATACAATGTGAACAGAGAAGATTCTCCTAGCTGAATTACACATCTTTGCTGACTGAGGAGGTACGAGGTAAAAGTCATAATGTAAGGTGGAGCTGAGCCATTTTTCTTCTGTAAGTAGGCCAGGAAACAACTGCCTTTTAATGAATGCTCCCAACATGTGGCAGTTGCAGTGTGCCAACCTTGGATTGGTGCTTCTCCTCTCTGGCTCACTGCTGGTTCTCACAGTTGTGCCACCATCAGCTGCTTGAGCAAATCCTCTGGGCTGTAGCTGAGTCAGGATTCCAAGTCCAGGCCTGCCATTTTAGTCTACTGGTTTGGTTCAGTTCCTGCTATTTTGCAAGTTTTTAATGAAAATCTAAGAGACAGCTGGGAACGGATTCAAGGGAAAAGTGGACATAGAGAGGCAAGGGCAGAGGCAGGGAAAACAAAACCAAGGCTGTTAAAACTGCAGCCTGGATTTTGCTTAGCTTCCATGATAGCTCTGTGTCTGAGCACAGAGAAGCTCAGGCTTCAAGTGATGGGTTACAGCTGCATTTCACCTTCTTGGGTTTGTTTAGATGGCTTAATGATATTTTTTTTCCAAAAATGAGACAGTTGTTAAGAAAGATGAACTCTTTTTAGCAAATGTAAAATTGTTCTTTTGGAAAAATAGAGGTCTACTTGCTAACCACCGTCTGTGTGTAAATATCAGATAAATAGCTAGCTGAGCTCTAGAAATCTTAGCACTTAAAATAAAAGCTTAAAGGAAAATGTTAAAGAAATTGGCTTTTGGCATCAGACATTGCAGGTTTGACTCCTGTATATTAACTTCTTCAAAACTTCCCTTTGCTAGCTGGGAAAACAGTTTTGTTTCCCTGGAGCTGGTGACATCCTGTCTAGATTCTGATTTATGTATGTTTGTTCGTCGCTGCTCTGGCTTCAGGACGAAACAAGCCAGTGCACTCCAAGCTATAGAGCTTCACCTGAAACTAAGCTGAAATACAAAAATGCTCCAAATGTTTTGTCAAAGTTTATTCATCTATCTCAGTCGAGGTTCTAGCTTGTGACAGGCTTTCAAAGAAGACGTGGAGTTGTGTAGTGCTTGTGTGAGGGAAGCCAGCGTCTCAAGTAGTGGGCTACAACTGTTTGACCTTATTAGTCAGGAAACAGGGAAGAAAGACAGGGAAAATGAAAAACAAGCATTATGGTTCCCTACAGCAATTTTTACAAGCTTGTGTGTTTTTCAGCAGGAGCGCTGGCTTTTAATGCAGAGACAAAAAGCTACACCAGCACCGCAGCATTAACTGAGAGTCTGACAGCAGCACGTGAGTAGATGATGTGTCTCTTTTGCTTCGTAGGACTGTAACAGGGGAGTTATGAAGCCAACTATGGGGGCTGCAAAGTGAAAATGTGGCACTACCTTAGTGAGCGTTGGGTTGCAAATCTACAGTAGCCTGGAGCATCTTGCAAAAAGTAGAGCAGCAGGTCCTCAGGTCCTCAGTTCGAGATACCTTTCCCGAGAGCATTAGCTCTGTGGCGCTTATTTTCAGCTGCTAGTTGATAGTCACCACATTGCCATGCAAAAATTATTACTAAACATGGAAAAGTTGTGTCTGAGCAGAGGCCAAAAGTCAGGTGGAGTCATCTGTACCAGCTTTTCAATACTTCACAGAAACAATTTCCCTGTTGAATTCCGCTGAGTTAGAAGATAAAAGCCCAAGTTTCCAAGCTGTCAAGGATTTGCAGTGGCAAAAGAGGAATGAAAAAACGTTTGAGTATCCTGGTTTCAATAGACATATTTATTTTAACAATATTACAATTGAGAGAGTTGCTAGGCAAATGTAGTAAGTACTGAAGGTAGTTTATAGATGAAATAAATTGCCAGAGAAGCTAAATAAAATCGCAGAGTAGCAATGAAATAATGAGATAATGTGGAGCAATAAAGGCTGCCTAATAGAATATTGAAAGGCAGCCTCATTAAAGATCAATAAATCAATTAAAAAGAAACCCTAAGGTGAACATTTTTTCAGAAGTCTTTCCCTTTAGAAAATCTCTGCTCAGCAGCAAGAAGCCCAAAGTGACTTTCTTTTTTAAAATCTTGGTTTGTCCTTGTGCTTTTGGAGCAGGCAGGAACTGTCAGTGAGCTTTTGCATTTGCATGGGAGTCGTCTTTTGGCTGAAGTGCAAATGTAGCAGCCGCTTTCCATTTTCTGAATATATTTTTGGTAACACTCCAGTGCTTATTTACCCACGTACAACCCACAACCACACATTTAGACCACAACCTCGTGACAACTTCTAATGCTTCACAATTCCGCTCTTGCACAGCTTGCTGGTGGCAATCTTTGCTAAAAGCATGCTGAATTACACTAATATTTGCAGGATATACAGTGCATTGCACCAGTCATCCCCACATCCCTGCCATTGCTTCCCCACATCTGTGCCTGCCTGACCACCGGCTAAGAGATAATGGCCTTGAAGGGTCCTCAGTCCAGCAGCTGTAATTGAGGGTAATTTCAGAGCACAGAGGCACCAGTGAGCCTGCTGAGGCATACCAGCATGCATCCCTGTGCCCTCCCAGGGCCACTGGGCTCCTACAACAGCGATTACCATTATCATTTCAGTCCTCTGAGGCTCTAACACAAGCCATTATGTAAATAAGAATAAGTAGTGCTCATCAGTGTGCTGTACAGAGCACAGTGCTAAGGAATCTCTTAGTGTATGTCTTTTTTTTTTTAAATATATATAACTTTGCCAATAATTTTTGCATAGGCAGGATCTGTCATGCTTATTCTCATAAAATTAAACACCTAATAAGCAAGAAGAAAAGAACTGAATTAATATCCAAAAGTCTCAATGACTTTTTAGAGTGCCCTAAATTTGGACAGATTTTCGTAGGGCTTTTTACTGCATACATGCATACATACCTACATATATATATATATATACACACAAACACATACACTTCAGTGTTCAATTTCAATCAAAGCCAGCATCTAATAAGAAAAAGATTTTCCTGGTTCTGTCTGCTGTTTCATTAATATAACTTAAACAGTGTTTTTGTTTTTTTTCTTGGATTTGTAAATCAGCAATTATACCAGAGACTTTCAGGTTCCTTTGTTATTTCATTTGTTGTTTGCATCAGAGAAAGGCTAAGAGTACAAAATAGCCACAGCTGAGCCTAATGAAGCAGTCATAGGTGCAGGCTTGGAAGAAAATTGAAGGATATTTTTTCTTTTTGTACAGATTTGAATGATTCCACCATGGAATCTCCACAAAGCCTCAGGAATGCCACACACTCCTCTGAGAATACAACCCTGGCGCACCATAACTGCCGTGGTACCTCTGGAAATGCTGTCCCATTGTCTAGTTGCATATTTTAGGTATTATTTCAGAAGCTGTGAATGTGGAGGTGGCTAGAAAAAACAGAAATGTATCCTTAGGCAGCACTGATTCAGACATAGGTAGCTTAGCTGTATTAGGAAGGGCAAAATACTGCCTACAAACAGATGATAGATTATTTTTGTGGTTCAGACACAGCACTTGACAGAGGAGACTGAGGTTTTGCTTAGTTGTGACAAAGGCAGACTCTTTGTGCTGCTGCTAAGCCACTTTATATCTTTAGGTTTTTCATTACCATCAAAGATATAAAGAGCTTATCATTCTCCTAGACCACAGCACAGCTCAATGCTGGCTTGCTGTAACATTTTAAAAGGTGTTTTCTTTCTCCCTTTCTTTCTTCCTTTCTTTCTCTCTTTCTTCTCTCTTTCTTTCTCTCCCGGCTTCCTTCCTTCCTTTTCTTCTAATATTCTTTAATTTGATAAAAGCACATTTTTTATCTAACACCAGGTTTTAGGCCAAAAATCTTGGCAAGATGCCTAGATTCTTGGCCTAAAACACGGTGTTAGATAAAAAATGTGCTTTTATCAAATTTTGACACCCTGATCCTGGAATTTGATTTCCAGTTTTCAGCAGGGTGAATAACAGTGGGTTCAAAAGACAGTCTTCATTTTAAAACACCTGAAAAAGTTACTAAAAATGTTCTGTGCCCATATCTTTTTAGGTAATCTGTCCTACAGCGTCACAGACCAGACAATTTCAGCTACGGGAGGGAAAGATTTCTTTACTACCAGCAGCCTGCTCAACAGTACTGGTGAGACATTATCCTACAAATCCTCTTCTTTCAGCATGCCATTGCAGAAGCACAAAACCTGGAGCA